CTTAAGTTTTCCTTAATTTCAAAGGCATAAAGAAACTGAAAAACTGTTACTCTCTGGGGCATTTTTAGATCTTGCTTCCCAGCAACTGTCACCAGTTCTGGCTCAAATAAACTATTAATAAAAATTCTCTAGTTTTGGACATTTCTTATGCCAACAGATTACTATTAGTGTTTTTCCCCAGGACAGGAACTAAATTTTTGAAAGTGAACAATTTGTGATATAATTTAGCTCCCATGAATATGTATCTTCAGATAAATTCAGTAAGTAAAACCAGTTGATCAGGTTCCAGAGAAAAGCAATGTATATCTTTGAGCAAACTAAGTTCTATCACTGAATAACCTTCCCAATACAAAAAGGGTTTAACTTACCTAAAGAAGGCCATGCATTTTAAGGTATAAGAGCAGTTTTCAAAACAGTAAATTCAGTACGTTTATTCCTTTAAGACCAAAATAAAATGTTCCATAAACAAAAATAACATTAGTAAAATGACAATATATCAAGAGACCATTTAATAATCAACATTTCACATCGCTGTGACAAATCTTTTATTAAGTTCAACTTAGGATGAGTCACCACTAAAGCACAATTCGAAACTCACTAGCGTGAAAGATGTTCTAGACTAGAGGATGCCCAGGGCCCCTTCCAGAATTTGATCACTTTCGAAGACGAATAACTATCTTCTAAATACCTTAAAAATCAATGAAAAAATGGAGGGAAAGTCTAATGTAAAGTGTGTCTTGTCACAAGTGCTACGACATACGTTTGTAGCTTCCCAGAACCAAAATTCGATCTGCAGGCTAGGAATAGACTCCACATTCACATGAACGCATGCACACGGATCAGAATATGAGAAATCCTCCAAGCTTTGATATAATCATTAACGTTTGTTGCTTTGAGATCCTAATGAATTCTTTCAAGGTTGCACACGTGGCCATCAGGCATTTACAGGGCGGGGCGAATCTGTCCCGGACGCATGCATAGCGGACTGGAATAACGTGTTTATGGAAACGGTAGAGCTTCTGAAGTGTAGCAGGCACTGCATAAAAAAAAAGTTTGGCCGAATCTGTTCTCTCTTAAGAAATGGCTGACTCGTCCCAAACCTCCCCCTCAACTGCAGTTGAGCGATCGGGGCGCGATCCTGGCGCAAAGTTAAAACGAGTTACAGAAAAAGAGCGAAAAGGAAGAAGTTGGGTTGTCCCTTGGTTGAGGTCGAGGCAGAGGAACAGAAGCCGCAAATTGGGGGGGCGCGGGTGGGG